GTGTTGGGAACATTTAATAGCCTCCTTTTAGCTATTTGAAACTATATGTTATTGTTAGCTGTAGTCATCCTACAATGCTGTAGAACACTAGAATTTATTTTTAGTATATCAATTTCTATAATATATTTTTTTCTAGGATCCTAAACACTTCAAGTCAGAGAAGACAGGACGGGGACAGTTAAGAGAAGGCTGGAGAGACAGTCACCAGCCCATCATGTGCTCCTACAAGCTGGTGACTGTGAAGTTTGAGGTCTGGGGGCTTCAGACCAGAGTGGAACAATTTGTACACAAGGTAAGCAATCCAACAGCAGTTCCTGGGCTTTGGACAAGGTAACTGTCTTCATTGTCAAGTTGGAGTGCATGATACATTACAAATGCACAAGTGCTGAGCCAACATCAGGTAACTGCATCCAAAAAAACACTTTTTGGATGAAAATGCATTTTATGTATGGGTTTAATTTTCTTCCACTAATAGATGTTTCATACTTCATCTCTCATTATGTGACCTCCTTGTCTATTGGGTGAGTATATTTGGGAAGTGGAGCTTTGGAAGTATACCTCTCACTTTGGCACTGAGCTAATCTACTTCCAGATAGAGGCACTTTGGAAGAGGCAAGAGGACTTATCTGTGTGCACAGCCCCTAAGAATAATAATTCTCACTCAAAAGATCTGCAAATGTAGGAACCTAAAGTAGAAGATGCCCCAAGAGACAAAACAAGAAATCTCAATAGTTCCCCGAGACAGTACACCTCAGCATTTCTGCTCATTGAATCATTCTGTTACCAAAGAATTATTAACAACCTCAGAATGCAGGTTTCAATTGTATACCCACTTTGGCTAAACGTGTTAATGTTGTAGCAGGAACCCACTTGGTGATGGTTTATGTTTTCTCGGGGTTTCTAACATGACTCTTTTATCCTCATGGGGAAAAAATGGGAAATGCAATGTTGTCTGTTGCCCTTTGTAACTGCTCCCATTTTCATAAAAATAAATACTACTCAAATTGCCTCTGCATTCCAGATAGGCTGGCTATCTGTTTGTTTTTCCACTTAAGAACTGATAAAGAATAGCTTTCCAAAATTCTTTGGGAATTTAACCTTAATGCATTGAGCTTTTTGTTACTTAGATGGATTTGTCTACTGAGATTGGGGGCCAATAAAAACTCTAATTTTTCAGTTTAGGTCCAAGGAATAGATTGCCAGACACTTGAACCCTGGTCACTTAGGCTCGTGGTAATAGCGGACTCTGGAACAAATTT